GGCTGGAACCCTCAGCGGATCCTCCATGACAGCCTCATCAGAAGCACCAGGTGTGTGATTCTGGGGTTCCTGGGCTGAGTCCCCTTGAGAGGAGGTGCTAGTGTATGTTTTTCATGATTGCATGCTCAGCGGCTACCACAGTGCCTTGTACACAGCAGGCACTCAATAAGCAACTCATAAATAAAAGACTGCATGAGTCATGGAGCCAGGTGAGACACTGCGCCAAAGCTGCACATTGGCTTACTCAGACTAAAAATGGCAGGGCCAGAGTACCTAAAAAAGTAACCTGTCTCTTACATAGGGACCTTGAAGGCTGGTGATGGTCAGTGAACTTCGTTTGCTCTCTTGTTGTGACATTTTCCCTGTCCCTCTCATAAACTGTAACACCCAAGATGTGGTCTGTAACACCAAAGATGCGGTCTAGGACTCAGAAGAAAGAGCATGGGTTTTCATGAAATACAAATCTAGGTTTGGCTCTGGCTCCATCATTTGCTAGCAGTGCTGTCTCGGGTGAATTGCAGATACTGCCCGAGCCTCCTTTATTCAGATTTGCAATCTAGGACCAATAATATGTGCAAACCAGTTACTGGAAGGTCCCCTCTTGGGGTTTTGGGAATCACCTCTATCTCTGCGCTTTCTCTGCTGCCAGATGAGACCCTGGTGGTTTCAAGGGCTGAGTTCGAGCTGGGGAGCAGAGAAAAAGCCTGTGGTACCTGACCTGGCTGCCTACCCTGGAACAAAGGTCTGGGACCCTCGCCATGGCCCCAGCTCACTCCACGGCCACAGCCAAAAGCAGGACAGAAGGGATGCCAAATTCCTAGGGCTTACTGTTGGTCTTTGTCAACAGCTCTGGCCTGGAGGAAGTGAAGACAATAAACGAATACCCAGTCAGTTCTGTTGCCTGCTCTCTATTTTGAGGGGACAGTCCCTGCTTTGTTTCTCTTCTCTTGTGTGAAAGACCGTTCCCTGAAATGCTCCTGGCTTCCGAGAACAGCTCTGGAGGTCACTCCATCAAGTACTAGCCAGGGCCTTCGACAGACGCAAGCAAGCTGAGTCCACTCTTGCCCATTGGCATCAGGGGCAGAAAAGGAACTGAGCTCACCCCTTCCTTCCTCCTTTTTCTCCTAGCAGACTTCTCTATCTATCCTGCTCTGGACCTGCCCAGCCTCCTCCTCCGTATACGGTGCTTTCCCTGTCAGCAGTAACCGGAGAGGGCCTGACGTCTTTGTAGGAGTCATAGCTGTCTCCGTGCCGGGCTCTGCCAGTTGGAATCATCTTGTTTGCAAAGGCAGCGTTGCACCCACCTTCTGCTCCCCACTTAGTTGCCTGCGTGAATGCCAGTTCCTGTATAGTTGCACCCCGAAGGCTGGATTCAGGGACAGCTGGAAGCTCCATGCAGCTGTAATTATGCTGTCTTACAAAGAGTCACTCCCCTCGACATACACTTAGGCAAGAGAAAGCTCTCAGTTAGCTGAGGCCTGGCTTCTCAGAATCCTAAGTAACTCAGCATATGTCTCTGCACTCTGCTTTCAAGAGAAACAGCCACACTTAGACACTATCCTGCCTCTTGTCTGCCTCGCTTCCCATTGTGTGTCCTAGAGAATCTACCATCAGCTTGCAATCTATTTCCATAGAGACAGAGTTTTACTGTTGCAGGGGAAAGATCTTCAGCTTCAAAGGACTTCCTTTTAAGTCACATAGTGGTGGCCACTTCTCCATGTAGGGGACATTCCAAGACCCCAGTGGGGCCTGAAATCATAGATAGTACCGAATGTATAAGGTTATGTTCATACATAACTATTACAAAATTCAGCTTACAAACTAGACACAGTAAAGGGCACAACAGCTAACAATAAAATAGGGTGATTATTATGTGAAATAAAAGTGACTTCAATACAAGCACTGTGATAGCACAGTAGCCAACCTGATGATCAAGAGGTTTATGAAGCCACCAAGGGCAGGTGGAGCCGACAGTGTGCATGTTCTGGGTAATGTGGTGATGCCCACCCCGGGCAGGAAAGAGCAAGATGGGACTTTTGTCGTGCTACTCACAAGGGCAGACCATTTAAAATATATGTATTGGGTTTTGTTTTCTGGACTTTTTAATTTAAGATTTTTCAGACCTGTGTTAACTGAAACCATCGAAAGCAAAGCTGGAGGCGAGGGCTGAACTGTACCACTGTGGAAGGGAAGTAAGGGAGAACCTTTTAGAAAGCGCCAAGCTGGCTTTCTGTTTTGGTTCCCGACTGATACCAGAAGGCCTGGGCTCTTAGCGACCAGACATTGAGCACCTGCTGCAGGCCGGGTGCTGAGGAAGGCGTCTTCTACCGGACTAACAATACCAACACTGAATAGTTTTAACCATTTCAAAGAACATACGAGACATGGACATTTTCAATCCCAATACTGAAGAGAAGGGGATTGAGACACAGAAAGGCTAAATAATTTATTCCAAGGTCACTCATAGTAGAGCTAGAATTTGATAGAGGCAGCCTGGCTTACTTAACAACCATGATACATAGCTTTTCTAATTTAATCCAACAACAATTTTAAGAGATAGCATATTGAAATGTTCTTTTTCCAGATTTTAAAAAAGGAAAAAAAAAAAAGGGAGTCTCAGAGAAGTAACTCCTCTGAGTGGTTGACCCAGATTCCCAACTCAATTCCATTCCATGTGCTATTTAAGTATCTGCTTTGTGCAGACTTTGTGCTAGGCACTAAGAGACTAACACTGCATGGGGCACTGGTGGCGAGCCTGTGGCACACATGCCGCAGCAAGCACGCGGAGCCCTCCCTGTTGCCGGTGGGGCAAGAGCCCCTAGCATTGCCCCAGCAGCCCAGCATCCAGTGTTAGATAAGAGTACAGAGAAGCCCTGCACATGCTCAGACAGGGGTGAGGGCACAGGTGACAACGTCACGAGCCATGACCCCATGAAGCTTTTACCTGGCTGGTCAGTACTCAGGTTTAATTGCACTTTGGCATTTCATGATAATTACTTGGATCTTGAATTGCAATTTGGGCATTGTTATGGTTGATATATTGTGTCAATTTGAGAAGTTTAGAAATTTAATTAAGTGGTTCGGGGCAGCAGGCCAGGGTCCATCCTTTGCAACATCCTCAGTCTGTGCAAAAGGAGGGCATGCAGATGGTGTGATAGCTATGCCCACCCAAAGAGAGAGGAAATAGCCTGCTTACAAACTAAGAGAGAAGAGGCTTGTTCTTTCCACTTTTGCTTTGGCTGCTTTTACTGGCTGCTGCCTTGAAGAGCTGCCCCTGTGCCACGACACCCTGAAACCTCCACACACAGGGAGCAAAATAAACTTTCCTTCTTTCATTTTGGGTATTGGGTATTTTGTCTCAGCAATGAGAGAAAAATAAACAAGACAGGCATTCAGTCTCTAAAAGTTTCACTATCCCTAGCACAGGATGATCAACAAGACATCATTTGTTTTCTTCCATTTCTTTTAACATTGGCATCTCTTGCTGAAGTGATAGGCAATGAAGATTGACTTCAAGTGCTCTGAAAGTCACATGCAGTCCCAGTGGGCCAAGGATGCCAGCCCCATGTACATCCCCTGAGCCACGGGGCACTTAGGTAAGCCCGAACAAAGCCAGATGTGAACCTTGGACCCTTTCCAGTGCTTTTAGATTAAGCCATGGGCATTCACGCATGAACTTGCTAACTCTGTGAACATTTACTGGGTATCTATTATGTTTTATGCTACACAAGGGTACTACAAAAATGGTTAGTATTTGGAATTGGGATGCTCTTGACTTAGAAGGGAAAAATTAGCTAAATAATTGCAATGCTGTACGACAAGGGCAGCAGCGGAGGTTTTAAGGCAATATTTTGAGTAATTTGGGACGAATCACATCCCGAAGATGGCAGATGGACTGTCTGGAGGGATGAACATTGGGCTTCCAGTTGGGAATGGGTGCAGGGGGCTGAGTATTCTGCGCACACACTCTATGCCAGGGGCCTGGCAGCGGAGCATGTTCATCCTTGCTCCAGCATCCAAGAATCAGAGAACACAAAGGACTTGTTCACAGTGTCCATATCAGACAACCCCTGAACACAGGGCACAAATGAGATTCTCTGGAAAGGGCAGCCCTGGAAGAGGGACACCATGGGAAAAGTCAGGAAGGCAGGAGAGTCTGGTCTAGCCCAAGGCTGGTACCTTCAGAGCGCCCAGCCAGAAGCTGTGCTTTGGGAGGCAAGGAGTAGAAAGAATAGGAGAAAAATCAGGGGCTTTTCTGCAGACCTGGAAAGAAGTCTGATCTTGTCTTGAAGGCCAAGGATAGCCACACACCACACCATGACGGGAACTGGTCTCGAAGTACTTCAGAACCACAGTAGAGGTTGGATTAGGTTAGGGAAAGACCAAGCACAGGGAGCAAGGTGGAGGGATCCCATGTGGTTTTGGTACAAGGTGACTGAACCCTAGGAGAAGTGGCCTGATGGTGAGGTTGAGGGAGGGACAGGCGGAGAAGAGACTGAAGGAACTGACTGTGGCAGGTGACGAGAGCTCAAAGAGAAGGTGGCAATGCTGCTGCTCAAGCCAGAGATGGAGAAGGAGGAAGCCATGGGAGTGGGGGCGAAGGGTCTGGGTGTGTGGATGAACCAAAAAGGGTTATCGTGATGTGCAGATGCCTGGCATTGACAACCGAGCTTAGTAACCAGGAAGGGGGTCACCCAAGGAGGGGAGGGGAAGGTGTGAACCACAGGGAACCATTCTACAGCCACTTTTGCAGCAATCTGCTAACGATGGCTCCTGGCTTTGCCCCTGGGAGATGGCAGAGTTCCGGTGTGGGTTGATTTTTAGGTATGACTCCTGAAGCTGCCCAGGTAAATAGAACTGTTAAGAATGCCCAGAGAGAGGCAGCTGGTTCCTAAAGGACTCTCTCCAATGCAACTCTTCAGGGAGCTGCATGACCAGGCTTGAGGCAGACGCCAGCTGGGGTCTGGGAGGACGCGGGCACGTGGACAGCCTCCTGCAGGAGGGGGTGCTGCGGAGGATGCAGCCTGGAGAGCGACTCTTTCTTCCCAGCCTCCTCCTCCACCCCTAGCTGCAGAGCTGGTGCATAAAGGTCGATTCATGCAGGAGGGGCTGCAGCTTGGAGCCCAGTAGAGGCGGCAGAAAGGACAAATTTCGTCTGTGTGTGTGTGTGTGTGTGTGTGTGTGTGTGTGTGTGTGTGTGTGTTTGGAGGAAACTGTTTATTCAGGGAGCTATATATCAAACACAACCTTCCTGGCAGACAATAGCGATTTGCCTGGATCGTTTATGCAACCGAATAAACACCAGGATGGGCTGTCCCGAGCAAAGGTGAGGTTCGTTTTTTGAAAGTGGGGTACCTCCCTTCTCTGATTTAAGTACAGGAGAGTCAGGCAACAATATCTGGGTATCTTCTTGAGCCTTAAAAAACCAAAGACAAAGGAAGGGCGGAAATAAAATGCAAAAGAAATAAAAGAAACTGTGTTTGAAGATAGGTCTGCTACAATATAAACTTTTCCCTCTGCCTGGCTTACTGCTATAGCAAAAACCTGTTGGTTGTCTTTGTAAAAAACGTGTCTGTATCTAGGTCCCTGGCAGTGATTCGCCTCTGGGAGGGCCCGCAATCTATTTAATGACTCCATTGACGTCAATAGCATAACTGAAATACTTACTAACATGCACGGTTCCAACTTTCAGGGGGCAGGGCGGCTGGTGTTTCTCAGCAGAGCAAAAACTCGGACTGGAATCCCCTTGGAACGAACTCAACTCCTGAAGCAACCCAGGATTAGCAGCTGTGGTTCTCATGGGTCACATTTAATACAAAGAAATGGCCATACTACATTCAGAATTAATTTTGAACTAGTGAAACTGGCTGTTACTAAAGCACAGAGGGTAATTTTTGGCAATGTTTCCCGAAGGATGGCATTTGAACTGTTTATAGTTAAGCTGTCTCGGCAATATTTTTGCAACTACACCAGACCTAAATTGAGACATATATGAAATAATCACAAATTAGTATAACTGGCTCAGTGTTGATGTTCTGGGGTACACTTTCTTTAGTGGGGGGCTGCTATAGACAAAAGTAACACTTAGCAATCACTTGGGGAGTTATTCCCAGAATTACTGGGGCTTTTCCCTGGTTGCAGTTTTCTTGTGGGTTTTATTTATTTATTTATTTATATGCAGCCGCCTGGATTCTCAAGGTGGTAATTAAGCTGATTATCCCAATAATTTATGTCTCACAGCATTCCAAACACTAAAGAAAATAGTATGATATTCTTCGTTTCTGTTTTTCTTCTTTATTTTCCTTTTTAAAAAAATTTTTCCTGGCCCTGGCCATAGCCTTTGGTAACAAGATTGACTTTATTCCTGCTTGCCCGTAAGGGTTGTAATCGGCCTGACAGTTCTTGCCTCCTGTACACCCGGAGTAAGGGTTCCCCGTGCTGGCCTGCATTTCCCACCTTCGGACACCATCCTCAGGACCCTCACTCACATCTGTGTACCCAAGATCCTGTTCTTGTTGTAGGCCCTGGAAGCTCTGGCGAAGAGGAGACCTGCACCAGTGTCCTGACCTTCTAATCTCTCAGCAGCATCCAAGGTAACTCACCTGGTGCTCTGTCCCTGTCCTGGGCCCAGTCTGTGTGGCAACACTGCCGGCATAGAAATAGTCACCCCCCTGCAGAGCTATAGAGCAGCCCTGCTGGAGAAACAGGCTTCCTAGAAGAAAGGCTTTTCTTTCAGTTTCATGAACCGGTGAAGAGTCTGGCCTGGCCTAGATCCACGAGAAAAGAGATGGGTTCCCTGGAGCACTACAAGAATCTTGATTAAGTCTGTTTCTCACCTAGGCAAGCTCCTTTCAGCCTTGCTGGGCTGCCCTGCCTTCCATCCTATTTCCCCAAACCCAGCCTTCTCCCGAAATGTGTTCTCAGCAGCTAACACTGAAAACCACCTTACATCCTGGAGGCCGTGGATGCCGGCCTGAGACAGGCCGATTCCAGGCACTTGTGGAGTCGTTTTTGTGACATGGCTGGTCATTTCCACGATGCAATGACATCTGAACAGTCTGATTTTGGTCCTGCTGGGGAGGTTTACTGGTAAACTTTGGAATAAAATCTTAGTTTAAAACATTCCACCCTCCATATCGATTCGGCTGTTAAATGTCACCTACTGTACATGACATATTTCATGACCAATCAAATCACATTTATATGACTCGGAGGTGCTGGTGTTAAAAACAACATTTCTCTCATCTTTTTGTGAAGCAGTCATCTTGTAAGGGCAGCTCCCTTGATAATTCATCTTCTCAGCAAATTCCCCCTTTAAGCGCCTACCTGTAATCACTAAGGAGCCGCAGAGACGCAGGCGGAAGGGGTCAACCGCTGGAAATGGGGGACAACAAGTGCTGGACTTTCCTAGCCCCTGACTTTCTTTCTCTCCGAAGGCAGAGCTGGGGTCTGAAATCCCACAGGTTACTTCACATTCCAATTTGATTATATATAGGTGACAGGCTTCACGTTCCTATTTTGCATTTATTTATTCTTTCTTTTTTCCCTTTTCTTTCTGCTTCAACCCCAAACACAATTTTTAAAAGTCTAGAATTCATGCTTTTGAAACAGCAAAGTGTGACAGAAATTGTGGTCCTCATTAAGCCCGGCCTCATAACATTTTCACCTCCTCAGGAAGAGTTACACCCGCTTGGGTCTTTTTCTTAGGTTTCAAATTCTCCATTACCTTTCCCCTGGGCTTTCCTGTTCAAGGGGCAGAACAAAATGCTAGCTTTCTATATTTAACTCTTTTTATTCAAAACCGAAGCCTAGCACAGGAGAGCACTCTGTCATCCCAGCTATTCTGCAGGCTGAGGCAGAAAGATCCCAACTTTGAGGACAGCCTGGCCAACTTGGCAGGACCCTGCTTCAAAATAAAAGTCAAATGAAATGTAATGTGACCGCCGGTCAGTGGTGGAGGGCTGCCCAGCACATGCAAGGTGCTGGACCCTATGTGAACACACGGACACATACGAGCATTGAATGGCCTCAGACCTCTTTTGATCTCAATGCAATGATTGATTTTAATACACAGTAGATGAAAAACATAACTGAGTATTTTTCATAGCCACAGAGGTAAAAATATTAGCTCATTATTAAGTGTAAATTTTATGAGCACTTACAAAGTCCTAGGGATTTTTAGAGTGTTGGTCAATTCCATATTTACTGTGTTCCTACTATGTCAAAGTGGTCATAGTAAAGCGCCCTGAATGCCAGGGTTGAGGGAGATGTAGCCCCTGCTTTCAAAAGCATGAGCACCACCGAGGGAAGGTGTGCTGGCCAGGGTCATCGTATCTTGGAGTTAAACGGTCGCCACAGCACAATAAGCAGCACTTACACCAAATTCAAAATATTAAAATCCCTGTTCAAAGGTGGGGAATTTGGATGGAGCCAGGAGAGCTGAGAATTACCCTGGTCTGACTGGACAAGAAGTGGGCTTCAGGTGGAGGGATGGCCGCACTGGACACTTAGGCTAATGAAAGATTTGCAAATGTAACTTTGGCTTCTGACAATTAACTTTACAATGAATTGAACTTCATTCATTTGGAGGAAGAGGAGAAGGGGGAAGGAGGAGGAAGAAGAGGAGGAAGAGGAGAAGGATGATTTTCTACAGTTGGCTTCTACATAAGAAGCAGTTGTGTAAGTCAGTGCTTGCTAATAAACTACATTGTTGCTAAATCTGTTTAAATTATCATGGCTTTCTTGTCCTTTCACATTAGATTTAAAATGAAACACACGAGTTCAGTAACTGAAACCCTGATCTAATGATCACAAAACCATCATGTTTTAAACCCAGCACTCCGGTTCTCCAGTCTGTCATCTGAGCCATTTATTTTTTGTTACTCTTTAAAAGCTACTATTTAAACACCCCTCTTTGTCATATGCTGATAAATATTAAAATAACAGGAAAAATCTGCCTGGCTTATTTAAGCTGATAATAAGAACAAAACACGGGATGTGTTCCCTCCTTCCTCTTCTGACTGTGGTTAAACGCCGAGAGGATTTTGAAACCCCTAATTACGTAATAATTGGTATCACTGCATTCTCTTCCCAATGAAAAGCCAGGATTTTTGTAGTTTGCCACAGAGACAGATGAAAACAAATTGCCTAAGTGGCATTGTCATTTCTGTGCTCCATTGTTTTAAAGAATTTAGCAAAAGAGCCTCTAGTTGCCAAGCTGTGGTTATTGTGCCAATACTCACGGAATGATTTCACCTAGCTTCTGTACCTAATGAGCACATTTACAGAACTGTAGATATCACCTATGCTCCTGGTGTTTGTCAGTATTTACCCCAAGGAAAAAAATACATCTCAATATCCAAACGGATGTCAGAAACATCTTTATTAAATTTGGCAAACAAAGATGCCGGCAGGAGCACCTCACCGGCAGGCCAATTGAAGAAATGAAGGAGTTTCGAAAACCAGCTTCTTTGATCTCCGAATATGTAATGCCAGTGATATGTTAGCACACTCTGTTTTGTTTCTTTTTATAAAACTTCTGAAGGAAATAATACATCCAGCCACTGGGTTTTTGAAGTCCATAGATAGAGCTGTTTACTTCTTTTTCTTTTGTACCATAGAGCTCTCGACTAAGCTCGCCTTTATTAATGTCTTTCTTTCACTTTTATTTTTGCTGTCAATCTTATAAAAATATGTCATAAAGCATCTACCATCAATACTTCAGAAGTGAGGGAGCCGACCGAATGCGCTGCCTTTGTTCTGTGGTGTTAGAAGTTTTATAAATACTTCCGTGACACTTAAGGTCATAATGCTAGCAGGTGGTTACCACGCCCCAGCAGGGCAGAACCAGTGTGCGGTAGATGTCAGGAGATCTCAGTTCTCCTGTTGCGTTTTGCTGAAATTCACTGCCACAATTCTGGGGCAGGTTCAAGGAGGAAAGCTCCCTTTCGACTTTAGGAAAGGTCATTTACGGCCTTGAGTTTCCTGAGTGTTCAGTGCTGCTCTGACAGCAGAGCTCTGAAAGCTAAGAGAACAGTTCTTCTTAAAAGCTATACCTTGGAAGAAAAAGCTGGGTGACTTTCAAAAGAAACGACTGTGATCAGGACAGAACTTTCGGCTTCACACTCAGAAAGGAGGCAGCGTCCAGTAGGACCTGCAGTGGATGCTAAGAGGGAAACCTGGGCTCTTTGAGGTTGTCCCTCCTGTAGTTCTTTGGGGCTGGATGCTGAGGTCACGCTGCATCTAACACAGTCCTGCCCCCTGGCTGCTCTGCTGGGAGACAGGGGTATCTACTTTCCCCTCATCCTGCAAGCAGGGCCACATGATGGCCAAAGTCCTGCTCTTGCTTTTCACTGAGGTTCACACTAAGCAGAGTGTACCACTGGAAAAGGCTGCTGAGAGATGCATTTCTGAGAGTCAGGGTTCGCAAACACACCTGCCTGCTCTACACATTCCTGAGACAGTGGGCCAATGGCGACCCTGAAACACGGAGCAGATCTCAAGTGACACGGCCTACCTTGCAGGCTGACTCTGGACACGGGAGGCTGGCTGGTGGCTGGGGACCTCCTGTGGAGAAGAAGAGGGGGACTGAGTTGAGTTTATGCATTCACACCCCCACCTGCTGTGGCACCAGAGCCCTGCAATCCTCACGGCCACCCAGTGACACAGAGCCACTTCTGGAAGGAGAACCCGTACCACTGGCTGCATTGCTCTCATGTACAGATGGCCTGGAATTTCCCTCCACGCAGCCCCAGAAGGCTCAGGTGCTCCAGGAGGGAAGGCCTTTGCTCCAAGTCCCCAGCCATGCTGGTCCAGGAGACTTACAGGAGAAGATGCTGGCTTGGGTCCTGCCCCAAAGGACAGGGTGGACTCCAATGGCTTTGGGCAGTGTGGTTAAAAAGCCCCAGCGGAATTTTTGCACCTCACAAAATGGTGACCCAGAGAGGCAAAGTCATTGGGCAAAGGTCACACAGATCCTGAAATCAGGAATCTGACTTTTGTCACTGAGGGAAGTCTTTGCATGGAGGACCTTGGGCACTGTCACTGAGCAAGGTCGGGGAAACAAGCGAACAAACCAGGTCCCCAGCACTGGGGATTCTCCTCCTTTTCTTTCCCTTCTCTGTACCTCTACATCAGTATCACCAGCCTCATCCTTTGCACAAAACCCTCTGCCAGGCTCTGAGTGACCCAGGAGAGGACGGAGCTGTGTGTCAGTGCTGGGGCCTGTCGCTGTTACCTGGACAGCAATCTCCCAGACTCCACTCTGGACTTCCTGACTCAGCAGGCCCGGGCTCGCTCTGCAGTCTGCATTGCGACAAACCTCCAGGCACTGCTGATGCTGCTCTGCCTGGGACCACGCAAGCAGAGCTACTGGGACTCAGGAAGACTCTACCCCAGCCACCCCGGCTCAGGGTATTGGCAATGAGTGAGCCAGAGGGCCTGGGAGAGCATCAGATCATTTGGGAACTAGTGAGTGCCTTTCCCCATCTCCGGAGAGGCCGCTGCCAGGCTGGGGAATCTGTATTTTCCTCATCCACTCATTCCCAGGCGCAAGGGAGTGTGAGAAACAAGCAGAGTTCTGTGCTGGGTTTTCAGGTGCTGCAGACTGTCCCGGCTCCCTCAGGGACCCCATTACTGTGTCACCTTACTTGGTACCTGCAGTTTCTGGACAGGGTCTACACTACTGATGATTTTCTAGTTGGATGACCCCAGGCACCCTCCGTGGAACTGGCACCCACATGTGACAAGAGAAGGCAACAGTTGTCCTCCAGGGCTGCCCTCCTCCAGTTGGGTAGTGCTAGGTACCTCCTAGCTTCTACTTGGAGTAACTCAGAGAAGCTGAGACGCACATGGTTCTAAGCCATGACTCTTCACTCCAAAGGGCAGCTTTTCCAGCTATCAGCTGCTAATGTCTGCACCCATACGGAGGACTGCTTACCAGAAAAATTGAGAGATTAAATTCTGAACTCTTGGATCTAGCACAGTACTTTGCTCTCTGGCCTCAGCACGCTTCTCCAGCTTATCTCCGCGGCCTCTTCCCCCATCTGACCTTCCGTCTCCAACCACTGACTGGCTGAGTGCGTTCAAGGATCCTTTCCTCCTTGACAGAAATTTCAAGTTGGGATGAAAATGGGCCTTGTCGGATGAGCGTTCAACAGAAGGCTCTTTGGGTGCCAGGGAAATTCTGTGTCAGCAGCGAACATTTGTTTACTACTGGGAGAACCAAAGATATCCCTTCATCTGCCAAGTCCTGGGTGATAATTATTGAGTGGAAGAATAAAGGAGTGAATGAGCGGGATGGATGGATAGATGGATGGGTAGACGGATGGATGGACAGATGGGTGAAGGGAAAAAATGACTCTACACTGCTGAGGTCAAACTCCAGGGCTTCCTTCGCATGGACATGTGGTGTATCTTTCCTGCCACTGCTTAGACTGTTCCTCTGCTGGGCAAGCAATACGACCTCCAGCTTTCAAAGGCCCAGCATCTTCTCCAAAAGACATGAACCCCTGGGCTGAGAACGGTCCTCCTGCTGATCTCCTAGGACCTCCAGGGTCATTTCCTCCTGTTCAACTCACACAGGTCCTAGCATCTGCACCCCTAACTTGGGACCTGTCAGCAACAGGATGTGGTCCTGACCCCTCTTCTTATTCCCTCTGCAGGAACCACCAGCTTCGCCTTCTGGTGAACAGTGTGAATTCCGAGCACACCGAGGAACTACGCATTGAACCAAACATTGAGATGAATGTATTCGAGGAGCCGGCAACTTGGAGTGAATGTTTTATCTGCTCCTTCTTCCCCTATGTATTGGTGCTGTTCCCTGAACCGAACTGCTCCCTTGGGGCTGTGGCTCCTGTGCCCTCTGTGCACAGCACCTGTGTGCCCCTCTTTAAGGTGCTACCTCGCTCACACGTCCCAGCATCTCCTCCTGGAGAGAGCCCCCCTCCTGCAGTGGCCCTCACCTGTGTTTTGCAGTACCCTATGCCCAAGCCTATTCCTCCTCTTCCTCGCCATCTCCCCGACACACCTGAGAAATGTGAACCAAGGCTGTGTGCGTTCTGAGCTGCGCTGCTGCAAAGCCAGTGTGATATCTGGGGTAACTCAAGTGTCTGATGAACGTCTGCTAGATTCCTAACACGCTGTGATATTTTTGTATCTTTGCCTGAGTGCCAAAGACTTTTAGGGAAGGACTCTCAGATCTAGGAGGCCCTCAATGTCAAAAATCTCAATTTTCTACCTGGAAATCAGAGGTATGATACACATTCCTTTGCTCCAAAATTATTTTTGAAACTATGGTTTTTATTTAGAGTTATTAATTTGTATAAGCCTCCCTGTGCAGGAGCTTTGGAAAGGCAGGGACTGTGTTCATTTGGTTTATCATTTATGCCTGATACCTGCTGCAAGGAAGAGGTTTGGTACATTTTAGATGCACAAGTGGCTTCCGAAAGCCATAGCACGGCTTATGGGGCAGGGGAGTGCCTGATACCAAACTGTGATGTGTGCGAGAGAAAGTGGATTTGCTTGGCTGATTTCCGGTGGTCCCTAACTAGCAGAAGAATCGGAACAAGTTGCATGCCTGGCTGGTGCAGAGTGTGACAGGAGCCTTGGCAGCTAATTTTTTCCAGCTCCAATAGCACCAGGAGGAGAGTACACGGCCATGCACAGGAAGGCGGGAATCCCGCCGCTGCCTCAGGCATCTCCCACTGTGAAAGCCTCAACAACTCACCAAGCTTTTTAGTTTGTTCCTCATGAGGGGAGAACAGGCAGCATGTACATTTACTACTGATTTACAATGTGCCAGGTTCTGGGTGAGGGGTTTTCCATCTCTTTCTCTGCTTACGCTGAGGAAATGTGGCTAGGATTTTTCCAGTTCTGAATGCTCAAGAATTTATTATTCTCAGCTAATTAAAATCCCAGGCCAGAGTACAGAAAGCAATGAAAGAGGTTTCAACTATACACTAAAAAATTTAAGTGGTTATTAGTTTTCTCCCAAAGATCACAGCCCCTTTGACAAAATAACGCTTTGAGAGATTGCTAAAACAGATGTGACATGATTTCCGGATGGCCACAGGCCTTTGTGAGGCAGTGACAGCACTGGGTGACAAAGAGGGTACTTTGCTTCCAGCTCCATTCTCTGCTTACTGATAACCAAACGTGACCACCCTCACTGTACCCACGACCATGCCACTGGCACAAGCTGGCAGCCAGGAAGTGCTCTAGGGATGCTTATCTGAGTTAGCAGCTCTAAATGAAAGCCACAGTTTCAAACTTAACTTCCGGGACAGAAGAAACATAGGCTTTAATTTGCAGCCAAGCAATGCAGGCTCACCCAAGCATCCCTCAACTGGAGGTCTTACGGAAGTGCGAAGAAATCACCTCGACAGGATATTGGAGATTTTCACCCCTTGGGTGGCAGAATTTAGCCCACAGTGCACAACTTTTGTGCAGAGCAAACAGCCAAGATAAAAGAAGCTTTAACTTCAGAGCAGTATGGTTCTACGTGGGAGTTCCTTTTCATGCAGCAAACCGCACGAGCCAGATGTCTCATTAAAACCACTCCAAGGACATAATTATTGCTTCAGTGTTGCAGTCAAGACAGGGAGTGGTGCACTGCAGCCCCAGTCAAACATGGCCAGAAAGCAACTTCTGAATCCCACCAATCTTAAGTTGCAGCTGGCAGTGTAAATTACTCCTCTGTGGGTGTGTGTCTGCTCCAGGCAGATGTCTTGTCTTTATGCCCTTTTCTTGCATTTTATCCTGTTGTTTTAGGGCTTTGAGTTTCTAGAAATATTGCAGATTTGCACTGATTGCACTTGAGTTCTCTAACTTGTTCCCTTGGTGGCCCAACCCCGCCCCGAAGGTCTTAGCCTGGGCTACACTGATCTATCTTGTCTTCCATTGGAGAGGTGCTAATGGATATTTGTCCTGGCTTCAATTTTTGTTCGGTGTTAGTTACAAAGAAATACTGGAAATTACTAATGTGATCAACTCTGTTCAAATATGGGGATGGATATGAAGAAAATTAAAAGACGCTGTCTTGCTGTTGGAGATCTAGTCTGGTTGGTAATTGTGGTCACACGAAGGAATGAGATGACCATGATTTGAGGGTGAACCTTAGCCAGAGTATGGGAACGACTCTGGGGAAGTGCTCTGCATGGCGAGCACGGTTCCCTGGTTCTCGGTTCCTAAAAGTTAAAGTGACCACAGGACAGTAAGGCTGCACATAGAACTGATTCTTGAGAAAGAGTCGAAACTGACACAGCTTATTAACCAGCAGGGTGAGGCTGCCCATTTCAGGTCTACTGCAAAGAAGAACCCCCTGGCCATGCCACCCCCCATTTAGGGCTGTGCAGTGTGGCAGCTTTGAGTCTGCTTATGGTAAGCACCTCTGACCTGTTCCTTACCCTGCCCTTCCTCGCAACCTCACTTATGTCTGTGTGGTCCAGGGCCTGCTTTCCCATGCACATTCCCGAAAATATGGCTCAGCTCACATCTCCCCTTTCAGGCTCTCTAACCTTCATCTAGTCCTGAGTGCTTCCTGAAAGCTTTCTGTTCCAAAGCCTTCCAGGGCTTTCTTCCCATACGTAACCCAGGAGACTGAAAGAGTGCAATAGATGGGAAAAGCATTGCAGGGAGAGGTGGATGGCCTCCCTGGGAGAAGCTGCATGGTCACGTGCAAGTCCTTTAGTTGTTCCATCCTTGCTTCCTTATGCATGGAGTGGAGGTGATCTAGAATACGTGACTATCAAGTACGATGATTGTTACTGCAGGGCCAGACGTGAAGCCCCTGTGTCTCTGGATTCAGCAGGAGAAATAACTGTCAGTCACCATAGCTTGCACTCACGGTGCTAGGCGCTATTTTAGGTGCTTTAGAAATACCGCCTCATTTAATCATCTTAACAATCCTAGATCAGGAAACAGATAGAGAGAAGGTATTTCATTTGTCCAAGTACACAATTTTCAAAGGTTAGAAGTGAGTTACGAAGCCAGTAAGTGTGACTCGTAGGCCACATTTATAAAGAAAAGGGGCAGGGACAGGGAAGGCATTGCTCTTCATTTTTTTTTTTTTGTCCTAACTAATCTTTTTCCAACAATTATTTATTCAGAAACTCATATGCATGTCAAGCAGCTATGGAGCAAAAACTAGATGTCAGGCATTCTGTTAATTCTTGGGAAGTCAAAGGAAAATAAACACAAATCTCCTCCTTAAGAAGCAGAGACGGGCAGTGATCCAGGAGAGAAGGGCAGGATCTTTAGTGTCCTCAGGCCAAATGAGGGACACTCAGCAGAGCCCCAGAAGGCTAGAGACAGCATCTCGGTAAAGGTAACACTAGAGATGACGCCAGAGCAGACTATTATAAAAGGCAGGCAACTGACTCAGCAGCCCTGGGACCTGGGAAGACCCACTGCCAGAAGAGAGAACAGGAAGCCCACCTTGCTGGGGAGGGGCTCTGCAGGGAACCACAGGGCCCCGAAAGGCTGAGACCTGGTCTCCCTGCCCTGCTCTCCAGCCCAGCTGCTTCAGAGCAGAGGGGCTGGAAAGTCTGCAAGGCAGAGTGGCTGACTGTTCTGATCACCACTGTGCCATCAGTGCTTAGCGGAGTAGACGCTCAAGAAACATCTGTCAATGCTCACACAGGTGCATGAGCGAGCAGCCTGCCCAAGACAAATGCATTAGGGTGGGCAGGCGGGAAGGCCGCTCTGGGGGGCTGGCGGACAACCTCCGCATTTCATAGCCCACATGCGAATCCCTTATCCCAAATGCCCGGGGTCAGAAGGGTTTCAGGATTCTGGCTTTTACCAGGTTTGGAATATTTGCATATTCCTAGTGCGGTGTCTAAGGAGTGAACCTCAAATCCAAGCACAAAATTCACCTGTGTTTCACACATGCCGTGTGCACACAGCCCGTGGTGGGTTACTGGTCACGTCACTGTACTTACACTCACTGAAGCTGTCACATGGGGTCGAGGGTGGAGCTGTTTGTTTTTTAGCATCACGACAGTGATCAAAATATTTCAGATTTTGGATTTTCAGATTAGGAGCGTTCAGCTTGCACACTGCACTAAAATAAATCCAACCTGCTCCCAACCTCACTAACTCGAGCTGGGTCACCAGGTGCCTCGGGGGCCAGCCACCTGCGTGGGAACCTTTTGTTTATCGGTTCATTCTTGCAGTGATGATGACTATGCTCCACGTGGAGTGGTACAGGCACACAAATCATCCTTATTCATGTTTCATCCCCTCCCCGTCCTTCCTCCCCTTCACCACCTTCCGGTCCCCTTCCCCACAGAGGTGCGTGGATCACTATAGTAGGACGACTTTAACACTTTGGTGAAGACACCTAGACAGGGACTGTCTGGGTTAAATGGAAGCTCTCTTTGTAGTGTTTGGGAGACTCTCCCTCCTGACTTCCATAGTGGTTGCACTGATCTACATTCCCACTGACAACATAGAAGGGCGCCCTCTTCCCCACAGCCTCCCCAGCATGGTGACCACTCTCTCTGGGCTGAGATGAAACTCAGTGTTGTTTTTGTCTGCATTTCTCTAATGGCCAGCGATGACGGTGGATGGCTGCAGGGCCTTCAGCTGGAGAGCAACACTAGCCACACAGCTCATGGGGAGGTTTACTCTGGTGGAAGTTTAGAGAAGAATTTAGAAGCGGAGGGAGCCAGGCTGGGAATGGCCCCATCGAGGGGAGTAAATTAGCACCCAAAGAGGCCTGGACATGAACTAGAGGTCAGCGACAGTTGTCAGTGAAAGCAGACTCTACACCTGAGCTCAGTTCCGGAAAAAGCAAAACAGGATTGTCGGTAACTTCACAAAGATTGCAGAGCTGGGGTACTCTGTGGTGAGCGCTGGCCGAAGCCTCAGGAGATGTAGGTTTCTCCTCTACCGTGTCTTTAGCGTACATCCTTTCATTTGCTGGTTGTTGGGTTCCTCAAGATGTGGGTTTCTCTTCCAACAAAGCAAGAGGTTAAATGAGTGGTCTTGTGTGTGTACACGTGTGTGTGCTTGGAACTGAGGGATGAACCCAGAACCTTCACCCCGAGCTACATCATCTGCCATTTAAAATATTTTTTATTCAGACCTGCTTTGCTGAGCTGCTAAGTTGCCCTGACTGCGGTTGAATTTGGGATCCACCTGCCTCATCCTCCTGAGTACCAGGATCACAGGCCTATGCTACCGTATCTGCCTAAATCAATGGTTCTAAAAGCCTGCTTCAGCCCTGCCATTCTGGATCATGGGTGCCGGGATGCTCAGGGACAGTGACGCGCTTTTTAAATGTGCACCGAAGTGAGCGTCATAGTCCTTGATTGGGCTCAGGGGTGAAGACGGCTTCGGAGGAGAAAGGTACTGCAGGGAACCAGTTCCACTGCTTGCTTCACAGATGAGGAGACCAAGGAATAGAAGCCTTAACTGCAGGGAACGCACTCACTATGCAGTTGGGGACAGAAGGGAACATAATTCTGCTTCCTCCTCAGCTCCAGGAACCTGTTTCTATATTACCCTCCAAAACGAAACCACAGTAACTTGGACCTGAGTTTTGGGGTGCTTTTAATTTGGGGGGCTCTGAATTCATACCTTCCTATAGAAAAGCATTTTTAATAGCATTTGTGGTCATTACTTCCAAACTGGCAAATGTATGAGATGCTTCCTTTCATTTTATTTGTTGATTTTCTACAGTGGGCTAAATACTCAGGGTCCCAAACTTAATAAACTCAAACCGGATCATTTCTAGCAATTTCTAACCTGCTCTCAATTTCCAGGACGCTCTATCCCAGGCTTGGTTTCCCTGTGGGGTGAGTGTAGCCCAGCAGTGTGGGCTCCTTTCAGAGCTCTCAGTGTTTCTGCCTTCGTGGAAAGAAATTCACGGCCCCACGAACGTCAGTGCTTACTTGTTGGTCGCTCCGTGGAGGTTCGTCAGCAGGGTGAAGTTGTTCCTCACGCTGCGCAGACTAGCCAGCACCTAGGAGGAAAATTTTTCACAGGGTGAGGACAAAGGGGCCCACGGCCAGGGTGAGAGCCACATTTACAAACCACACCCAGGGCAGAGGAAAAGTGAACCGGGGTGAACGTGGCACGTACCTGGGCAAAAGGAGTGACAATCAAGTCATCACCATGTCTAGTGGAGAGAGAGAAAAGACATATTTTACAATGCTGTCCGCTTGTAATTACGGGGTCTTAGAGGTTGGGGCAGACTGAATCGGTGTTAGCAGCCCCATGCCATAGAGGACCTTTTGGCCTGCAGAGGACCCACAGTTAGGTAAAATGGCGATCCCAAGGGCATGAAAGAAAAAAAGCAGCACCAGGTCCATGCTGCCCAGGTCTGCAGTGGTTTCCCAGGAAACCTTTGCGAGTAATCACCTACCCTCAGGCCGCAGTCCCACTAGAAGCTGACGCAGGGTCCTGTAATTCAAAGCGACCTGTGGGTTTGGCTTCCAGGGCCACGGAAATCAGAAGGGGCTTCCCCGAGGCACTCAGGGCATCGGAAAAAATGGTATAACAGGGTGGAGAAAGGGGAACTTTGGATTTCCTGGCTGTTGTTGTTTTAGACCACAGGCTTAACGCCATTCACACACAGATTATGTCTGGGAATTCCATTACTTTTCTGTTGTTAACATATTTTTGTTTTCTTAAAGTACCTCAGAAATGCTTTTAATGGGCATGTATAGACTGTCCCTACTAAAGCCACACAAGTCACTCCTTTAAGCCCCGAGATCCCACCAAGCTGCATCTCACATCTTGTCCATCTGTACTCAGGATTGGTCACGAATACTTCCTGAAGCTGGGTGTGTGGTGCACGCCTATGATCCCAGCACTCCGAAGGCTGAGGCAGGAGGATCATTGCAAATTGGAGACCAGCCTGGGCTGTAAAGTGAGCCCAAGGCCAGCCTGAACAGCTTAGTGAGACCCTGTCTGGAAAAGACAAAAAGAAAAAAGGGTTCTCTAGCCCTTGCTCTCCTTAAGCCCACACTCAGCAGGCTCTCTGTAGAAGGTTTTAGATACTTCTTTGGTCCCGGGGATCGAACTCAACCTCGTGCTTGCAGGGGAGGCACCTGTGCGGCTGAGCTAACTCCCCACCCCTTGTGGAAGGTTTTAGGAAATGAGATGGCCCAAGTCCCAAGACCAGGCCAATCTGCTGTCCTGGCGTGAGTGCAAGCAATGGCGCAGGAGCTGGGGACGCTGCCCCCTCCCTCCTTACCATCGACCCCAGGACCGGCTTAGCCATGCCCATGCATATGAGCACAACCAGCAATTATTAAGCAGCTGTCCTGTGCCGGCCACTACGGGAGGCTGGGAGAGCCGGAGCTGGACACCACACACATGCACACACACACACACACACACACACACACACACACACACACTCACATGCTCACACAATGTCCTTCTTGGTTCCTTCTCCAACACAGACTTTTAGCATTGGCTCCTTGTGGTGCTTTTCTGTCCTCACCTCCAGCTGGACGCCTCTTCTGCTCAGTCTTTACGGGTTCACTTTCAATAGTGAGGATGCAAAGTGCGATGACAAAGATGAAGCATCCTCGGTGTGGTGACTGCCTGGAGACCTTCTCTGTGCATTATCTCATTTAATTTTTGCAATAAGGTTGGGGGCAGCAGGCACCCTTACTGCCCCCCTGTGACAGCCAACACAAAGCCTTGGAGCAGTTTAGCAGCTCTTACCTAGCAGGGAGCTAATCAGTAGAACTGAGGCTGCTCTGCCCCCAAATCTGTACTTTCAAACACATTTCTTTCTTTACAGAGGAAGCTCAAAGGTGGAAATCACACTACACAGGAACTAGGATCCTCAAAATCAAAACCACGCAAGGGAGACAATAATACGTTTAAAACTGAAACAGACAGGAGTTGAGATGGATAAATATAAACCACAGATGCCTAATGGGGTCCAAGGAGGGGTTAGGTATCAGCTGGAGGAGGGAGAAAAGACTGATGGAGTGAGAGTGCCTAAGATGAACTGGGGGGCAAGTCTTACAAAGGCCAGAGGTAGAGGCAGGCAATGAGCACACGGCAAGAACAAAGGCACCGCAGTGGGAAAACATCCAGCATGCATAGGTGCTACAGAGACAAGAAAGCCAACACCTGGGGTTCCTGGAATGTCGCCTCAGGGCGAGGCAGCCTTAGGAGAGTACCCACTGTGATCAGTGGAGTGGTGTGGTGGGCTGCGGCCCACACCGCCCCTCCCCAGGCTATTTTCTTGGGCCAGACTTGAGATGAATGAAAATTGTTGCCATTTGCTCAGGGTTCTGATGTGAAATTCATCTCGTCCATGAGATGTCAGGCTGAGTCCAGGGACCAGGTAAGGAATCCGGAGTAAGGCAGATCTTTGGTGCCTCTTGGACTTCTGAAGTCTAAATATCTGATTCAAGTGAAATGACACAGCACACACTCCTTGCAGAGAGTGCCTGGGACATTTGGGAAAGAATTGTGAGGTGACTAAGGTTTACGAACTAATGATCCAGTGGAAGAAGCAGATATTAACAGGGCAGAGGTGTATCGTTATGGAATTCTGAGACTTAGAAGAGAATATTCAGAAGCAGGAGGAGGATTCGCAGTTCCCTGACATTGGCCTGCTGGAAGCACCAAGTTGCCAAAGCTAATGCACGTGGGATAAAGACTGGTAGGTAGATCCTCAGATGATTTGTAATAAGGCTCAGAAAACACACACACCCACACCCACACACACACACACACACACACACACACACACACACACGGGTTCGGGGGGGGGGCTTAAAGACCATGGAAATATCCTGAAGTTTTAAAAAGCGATTGGATATATTACTAACGAAGAGCACACTGGCTTCACAATAGCAAAGATCTTGATTATCAAAGCCATATTCCTTTGGCCAAGCCACCAGGGGAAGCAATTCCTCTGGAACATTCAGCTGTTCAGAGGCGTGGCGCGGGCACCACCTAGTGGTCAGACTGGCACACTACACTGTCACAGCGCGGCGACGGGAAGATGAATCTTAGGACGGCGTCTCAGTTTAGTGTAGGTCTTGCTCTGGGAAATGATGTGGCTTTCCGGAGGGCAAAATGTTGCTTCTCTCGCTTTCTGGAGGTCAAAATGTTGCTTCTCTCGCCTTGACTCTCAATTTTATGTATTAATTTAGCCTCTGTTTCCTCCCTCCTCCCGTGATTGCATCTGTACTTTTCTCCAAAGCGATGGTGGTCTGTCTGTCTTTCAGAGAGCTGAGTTTGGAGCCCGGTTTTGCAGAAAGACAGTGTTCCCTTCTCAGCTGTGTTAGCACCTGCTGTGAGCCACAAGGCAACCTCCTGGCGTCCTAAGTTCACCTGTGACACGTGGTCCCATGGGGATGAAGCAAGTGCTATGCGGGTACCAGTCCCAGGGACGGGGGCTGGCGCAGAAAATCCTTTTGTGTTCTCCACCCCAGTGCCCCCTGGCCTGTTCTGATAGGCATCTTTAATGTTACACATGGAGTCTCGTGTCTGCTTCTTCTCTTCAGGACGCTCAGGCCTGTTCCTGCTCAGTCGCGGTGTTCCTGTTTATCCTGTACCTCACAGTTCAATGCCTTCAGTCATTATTTCCTGTGATATAAGAAAGCCCCGGATCCCAGGGAAGGGTGCAAACGTCCGTCTCCTTGGCCAGACTTGAAGCTCCTCTGCCCACCCTCACAATCAGCCACCAGTCCCTGTTGATCTCAGTTGGCAAACATTAATCAGGTGCCGCCGGACCTGCTGGGATGCAGACCCCTGAGCTCCGCTCCGTGATCACCAACGCAGCCTGCTGTCTGGGGTTCACCCCGTTCCCTGTCCAAACCTCCCTTCCCATGGGAACAGAGCATTGCGAACACCTTTTATGCTTTTCTGCTTTAAAAAGCTCTGTGCTCCCACAGCTTGCTGACAGCATGAAGGGCAGCCTCCAAGGTCTTCCACAGCGAGGCCTCCTTCCTTCTCCATCCTCATCTCTCCTTCCTCCGCTTCAGCCACACTGAGCTGCGGTCCCCACAACGCTCCCCACGCCAGAGTCAGTCATGCCGGGCCTCCGGCCTGCCCGACCGGCTCTGTTTACACCTTTGCTACTCTCAGCTCCCTCCGAGGCAGGGACACTGCCTTATTTGTTAGCAAAGTACGTAAGGTTAAGTAGATATTTATTCAAAGCATGAATAAGATCCTCAGCACAGTTGGAAAGGCAGGCAGAGGACAGATTAGCACCAGGACGCGGGTGTTCAACCTCACTTAGAGCTGAGGTATTGGCCTCACACATGGTTTGAGCCTCTCAGACCCCAGGGGCCAGCTTTGGTGCCCATTGGGCATCTCCCACGCCTTTGTCTTTACAGTGAGAACAGGACAGGACCCGGAATTGGGGACATGGAGGTGAAGGAGTTGACATGGGCTTTGCATAGAACAGCAGACACAGGACACACTCCACCCATGTGTCTGTCTCTTACAGACAATTTAGAGCCTACCAAGAGTCGCCACGCCTTAATATCCAGCTGGTAACTGGAGTCACAGAACCCTCCTTGTACATTTTGGGAAACTCATCAATAACCAAGTCTTAAATTTGAGAAATTATTTTTGGTGCTCACCCTCTTGGTTCTAGGTCTCATTTTGGTTGACACAGCTTTCCAGAAATCACCAGTCCTCGGGTCAGCAGCAGCTTCCGAAGCTCCTCTCCGATGGAAGCCTTTGCAGAGAGGGTGGCCGGGGGCAGCCTTCTTCCCTGTGCTTCGCAGGTGGACAAGCAAAGCTCTTCTTGTCCCAGGCAGATCCTGCCAGAGCTCTTGGTAACCAAGCAGGCTTCCCTGATCTCTAGAACTTTGTGTTCCCACCCGAGTCTCAGTGTGCAAAGGCATCACTCCAGAGATGTCTGTGACCCCGGAACTGGACAGAAGCCCACGGTTATCACCATATCCAGGAAGGTGTCCGAAATCGCCTGTTGGGACCCCGTGGTTGTTTGTTCCCCTTCACTAGAAGGGCTTATTTAGTTACAGCCACTTCTAATTTGCCATTCACGTACGTTACTAGTCTCCCTGCTCGTCATCTCCTCCTACTCTCCTGAAAGACTTCATCATCGGAGAAATGTTTCTTCCAGGATTAGGGTGCAGGAAGTGGAGTTACGCAGTTTCCTGCCTCATCTGGAAGCAGCACTGCCCTGGGCAGCCTGAGGGGCCGGGAGGGGCCTCCTGCAGCCCGCCAGGCCTGGGCAGCTGGGCTCCTGTTTCCTCACCCCGTCTTCTTCCTGGGTCTGTCGGCAACCGGAGTCCAGGACCCGCTTTTCCGCTCTGTCATTCCCGCCCATCCTGTGGGATCATAACTGAGAGGAAGACTTTATGAGCACTGATCCAAAGGCCTGAGTGAAATGGATGGAATTCCAGAAGAATCTGGATATTAATCAAGTTCTATTTTTGGGGGGTCATATTGAGAAATGTAAATTCCTAGATCCTAAACTGACGAACATAGAGAAGTTTTTTTTGGTTTGTTGGGGTTTTTTTCCTGTAATGCTGAAATGCTTTCAAAACAAAATCATGTGTCGTTTACTCCCAAACACTTGAACACATTCTGGCTCCACTGATGTTAGAGCCAATGGTATTACACTGACAAACGGGTTTTCCTGAGAAAGGCTCCCGCTCTTATGAAACTGTACCCTTCCTACGTTTGTTTTTAAAGTCCCTACTTTTGAAGAGTGAGGTGATACTAAGTGATTTACACATATAAACCTTACTTGCATAAACTTAAAGCCAGCAATGCCATGTAGGCTCTGAAGTTCTGGAGGGAATTTTACTGGTCACTAAAATTGCACAAAGGGTGACACATCTGTGACAGGGGCCCTGGACGCAGGGGCATGCAGGGTGGTCCCTGCTCTGCCAGCTACAAGCCACACTGCACTGTGACCTTTAAGGCCTCTTCAAGTGTGAATTCCCTAAAACCCTTCGATTCCAAGTAGGGAGACATCAGTGCAATCTTGGACTTGGAAAGTGTCTTCTGCCGAGAGTGACTAGCCTAGAGCCCCACTGTGCTGTTTAGCATGGGCTTGAAGAATGCTTAGCTCTGGGATGGACCTGCAGAATGACCACCTTCCAAAGCTGGCCTCTTCTCTTGAAAATACCCCATGAATAAGGCTCTCATTCCTCTGTGCTCACCACATTTCCCATGCTCTCTCACGATGGGGAATAGCGAGCCTTTGCTCTCTGTGGAGAATGGAACGCCAGAGTCTCACCATGCAGGGCCACCACACGAACCTCAGCGGCAAGCCCCGCCCACTTGAGCAGCCGCTGCTGGGTCTCTTTGCTCGGGGTGGTCTGTGCGCCACCTGCTTGGAGAGCTGCCACGCTTGGAGGGAAGGACACGATGCAAGTTCAGGCGCCTTGCACGTGGTTACTGTTCGGGTTTGGATGTGGTCTGAACATGTCCCACGAAGGGTCAGGTGTTGGAGGCCAGGTGGGCAGCACCCTGACCCTGGGAGGAGGGGGTCTGTCAGAGGCGGTGCACAGCATGAGCCAGTTAGGTCTTCGGGCTGTTGCTGCTGAAAGCATTAGTGGCGTTCCTGCAGAGTGAGTTATTCTCAGGACAATGAGGCTGTCACACTCACACAGAGCCTTCTGCATGTGGCTGGCTTCTTTTCCATTTCTCTGCCCCACTGATACACAATCAGGGACCAGTGCCACTGAGACCCTCCAGCCACTAGGATGCTGGGCCAAGCAAACCTCTTTTCTTTATAAACTACCTAGGCTCGGGTATTTTATTACAGCCACAGATAATGGAGCTAATACAATCATCCTTAGCTACACCACAAGATATGACATAAAATACAGCCGCACAGAATCTCTCAGGGACTCGGTTTCCCCAGCTGCAGACAGGGCTGCTACTCGGGTAACACAGAGAAGATGTGGAGAGCCTGGAGGCAGGGTAAATGATTGTTAGATGTTGGTTCCTTTCCATTCTGTAGTGTGGATGTATGCACATGCCTGGGTCTTCCTTTCATCATTCCTATATAGCTGTTGCTCCCCCTGACCACATGCAGACTTCTGGTGAATGGCATTTGTTTTTGACTCATGTGATTTTTCCCTCTGTTTTGTTCATCTTTTTTTTCATAGTCTAGCATACTTCATCCCACGTAGGGAGGTAGCAGTAAGTGTTTGTCAAATGAATGGGAAAATATGTGAGATTTGGGGTACACCATAGTGGAAATAGTTTAGGACTGAGGTGCTTCATTCAAATTTGTCCACAGAAGTGCTATGGGGGACTCTTTCTGGCTACTGCAGTTTAAAATGTCTCTTTTCCACATCACAAGAAGGTGAATGTTTTTGGCTGTCTCTAACAGAAAAAGAGAACCCAGTGGAATTTTCCAGACTGGCAACTTTTAGGGAACTACTAATATTTTTATAACATATGATGTTAAAAAACAATTGTATGCATGCCCAGAAACCTTTCAGGGAAGGATTTCAAGATCCAATTTTAATGGATTTTAGAAATCTAATAAACAAGGCACACAGCCCTGCCATTGTTCTTTAAGTAAAAACTAAAGATCTTCAATCAATAGCAACAAAACAAGAACAAAAAAATAGGCAAAAGAATCCACTGTGTCTCATCCAGGAGCCAGAGCCTGGTGGGTGCTGTGGGAGGGCTCCAGAGAGGGGTCCTACTGTGCAGCTGGGTGACAGAGTGGTCACCAAGCAAAGGCTGGTGGGAGAGAACACGGTGACCAATTGTCATTTTTCTTCTCTCTGGAGCCTGATTTGCAAAATGTGTTAAGGTTCTCATCCCATAAATGATTCACCAGTTCAGGAAATGAAGGTCAGTGAAAACTTTTTAAAAGTATCAATAACAGATGTGAGCGAAACACTGCATCTCAGGTTTTAACAGCCCTGGAGACATCAGCTATGAATCTCCACACTGCAGAGCGAGGGTAACAATGTGTGACCACTAAGGGTTCCTCCTGCCTCTGCCTTAAGTGAAGGAACGAAAGGGGAGCAGCGAAAGGGGGTGATGGCTGGAAGGAGAGGCTCAGTGTCAGACCAGACAGGGTGACAAGTGCTGTACTCACTGCTCGCTGGGAAGGGACGAGTTTCGCGACATCGCCTTCGGTGACAAGTCATAGTCACTGTCGGATCGGTAGAGAAAGGACTCTCTGCGCTGGCTGTGCCCGGGGAAGGTGGTGTGCAGGACCAGCCCCGAGGACGAGCCGGCCTGAGGGTCCAGTGGGCTGCGACCTGGGGAAGGGCCATTTTCCACGTCAAAGCTTGAAGAGAAAGCAGGAAACTTAGGTTACATGTGAGCCACAGAGGGGGACAGTGAATGCCCACCCTGAGCCCACGTGTGGCAGGTCCACAGAGCTGGACATGCCACGGACAATGGTGACTCTGAAACCGCTCTGAGCTGCCCTCGCAGTTCCCATCCTGCATACAGGAAACCAAGTCCCACATGGTTATTTATCCGAATCTTCTGTTTGTCAGCAGTGACCCAGATTGCGAGCCCCGAGGCGGAGCCTGGGGTGCCCAGCTGCAGAGCAACTGGGACAAATCTGGAAAGGGCACCACCCACCCTAAGTGGTGATAACAAGCCCCAGCATCCGGCACAGCAACTGACTGCAGCCCAGGTGACAGACACCCAGCTGTCACACCAGGGAGGCGTCCTCCCGCCATGAACAAGCATCATGGTCTTGCTAAAAACTCTGCGTGCAGATTCCGAGTGTTTTGGGAACAGACTGTCACTCCAAGAACATCGAGATTTGGTCAGGGAGCCTTGACCTGAGATGTAACACTCCTGTGCAAGTTTAACCCAAAGAAAATGACTTAATTAATCCAATGAAGCCGGATGCCCTTGAAGGTTGGCAAGCTGCTCTCCGGAGGAGGAAGCCCAGCAGGCCTGGGGAGGCATGCAGCGAGGTTGCCGGGGTGTCTTTCACCCTGTATGGGGCCCTAAGCCCAGAATCATTTGCTGTTTATTCCCATGCCCTGCCTGCCCCCTCCCTCCATCTCTTGGTCCCCCTTTCCTTGCACTAAAGTCCCCGATTGTGTGTCTTTTATTTTGCTCTTTAATTTATTTAGAGTTAGGGCTTCTCTTACAACAGAAACCATTTAAGCTCCTGGGTCTGATTTATTCCTTGTAATACTGTAGTCTCACACTGCACTCATTTTTCCACCAATGACTGAGTTTTACCTTCTTTTGAAACCTCCAATTATTTGAACAAACTCTGATCAATGGATGTGTAGACAAGAGTAGTGGAGATTCTCTCTCTCTCTCTCTCTCTCTCTCTCTTTCTCTCTCCCCCTCTCTCTGTACTGGGGATCGAACTCTCGACCTTGCACTTGCCAGGCAGGCGCTTGTGCCTCTGAGCTAAACCCCCGTCTCTGTCTCTTCCCTTCCCTCCCCTGGTATTTCCTTCCCTTTCCGCCCCATCCTGGTATTTCCTTCGGCATTGTGTCCTTCCTACGATCTCGGGTATTGGTCCAAACCCATTTTCCTTGCATATGCAGTCCCCAGATGACAGCAACCTGGTCGCTATTGTGTCTCTGTGTCACACACTGCTCCTTCATTAACCCTCTGAAGAGGGACTCTGGGGTTCAGATGCTCCTGGCCCAGCTGGACCCCGATAGCTGGCTTCCTTCAGGATCATCCAGCTGCCCTGCATGTATTTTTAAAAATGTTTTTTGTTCTTTGCTCTTTTCTTTTGCTACTTCTGACAATGCTGTTCTCTCTGGGTGGATTTTGCTTATATTTCTTCAGTTTACAAAGTGCTTTCTAATCTATTATTTCATTTAACCTTAAAAAGCCTGCAACCTAATGAATATGATTGGACTCTGCATTTGAGGTGCGTAAAATTTTAGAGAACACACACCGTGCCTAAAGTAATGGGCTAGAACAGAACTTCCTTGACTGCCTTTCCCGTGGCAGAAGAGAGTGACAAATCTGATGTATAAAGTTTCCTTAGGGGTCCATATCTATGGCCACACTGAATTTATAAAGTAGGCTTAGCAAGAGATTAATAGCAAATAATAACAGAGTAGAATAATTTTAACGATGTCCTCACATCATTCAAAACTTATGAACTATCTATTTCTGGAATTTTTCCATTTAATGTTTTTGAACCATGGCCAACTGCAGGAATAGCAACCGTGCAAAATGAACCCACAGAATCAGGCAGAGGAGGGATCGGCCGGAACCTGTAGACAGGGCAATGGGAGACCACGTCTCCCAACTCATTTCTTCATGGTTTTGGACTTCCCTCCTCACAGAGTTCCAAAATGGGCCATGGGACAGTGGAGTGTGATTTCCTTTCAGTCTCTGGATTATAAAAACAAAACAAAACAAACAAACATGCTCTTGGCCAGGACATTGGAAGCTGATGCAGGAAGATCACTGAATGACTCTGGGCTGTGTAATGAGTTCCAGTCCAGGCTGGATTACACAGTGAGAACCTGTTTCAAAAAACCAAACCAACCTAATCATCATCATCATCATCATCATCATCATCATCATCATCATCATCATCTACCCAACAACCTGCAAACTCCAGCAGCCTGATAAACAGTGACAAGTGAAACTCTCACAAGTAAAAGGAAAAAGACTAATCCAGTACCTAGGTGGGCTCCCCAGATGCGTGGATGGGTTTCCCCAGTAGGCCAGTGGGCTGGTGGGTGGCAGGCAGGCAGCCACTCACCCAGCCCAGCCAGCCGCCGTTCTGCCTAGAGGTGACCACGTTGGAAGCTGCATGGATTGAAGCAAGAGAAAGACAGTGATACCAACTGGCAGCCCTCCCTCGATCTGCACGAGCAGCTGAGCAAAATCAAGGGCCCCTTTGTGGAGGCTGCAGCATCTGTGAGTTCTGAGGCTTCTGGCTCTCTGCCCTTCCCAAGGGAAGGCGGGAGGGGACAGTGGGATGACACGAAGTTGGTGGTGGGCACAAGCTCTGGAGTGCATGTGTGTCACCCTGAAGCTCCTCTGTTAGGCACCTACATAGCCTACTGGGTGTTGAGACAACTGGAAGTGAACATCCAGCCACTGTCCCAGCCCCGGGATATGATGGACATCGTGGCAATCCAGCAGCCAAAGGGTTGGCAAGCAGGGCTGCTGGGGAGCTCCCACCCTAGCCTGTGGCCTGGCTCCATTTCCCTGGTCAGTGCTCATGCGAGAACCAGTCATGAAGGCTGTGAATGCCACTGCTGTGTGCACCTATGTCAGAGGCTCAGAAGTGATGCCAAGCTGGGGAGCCTGTCTTGCGCTCAGAACTTTCTCCAGGCTGGCTTCCACCATGGCTCACTCCGCCCTCTCTCCCACTCTGCTGGGCAGAGGCAAAGCCCACAGAGCACTTTCCCGGCCGTGAGTGCCCCAGGGCACCCCGCTCCTCATGCCCTTAGCATCCAGAAGGTCTTCCCTGCTGGGTGAGTGCAGCGGCCAGGCTCGGACCCCCACACCCAAACTCCCTCCATGCCATCTCTCTTTGGGTGGGATGTCTGGTTCCTGAGCCTGTCTACTCTCAAAGGAGGCTTGCTAGAATTTAGAGGAACCCGGGGAAGAATTCCCTGGTGCAAAGAAGCCATCTTAGTGAGACAAATGGCCTTTCATATTCCCTGGGGCGCCGTTTCAAAGCAGCCAACACAGATGCGCAACTCTGGAACAAACATGAATCACCAACCAGACACCAGCCCCTGTCACAGCAGAATTAGTGGGCCGTCATCACAATGCATCACACAGATACAGGGTGAGGGCAGAGGCCTGGGGCAGACTGACCAGCCACATGAATGTCCTACACAGCTGGACCACAGTGAGGCGGGCACGTGGGTCACCACAGCAGGAGCACACACACAAATCGGGTCATTACTGACTTGGGGTGACTCTAGCCTCTGCCTTGGTCAGGGCGTCCGTTTTGACCACTGGGCTTTTTGGGATTGAAAAGCCACTAGGGGAAGTAATAGAAAATGCTGCATAAAACTTGGAAGAGAGGGAAAAGCATAGCACCAGCACTCCCAGTTTAGAGTTCTTCCAGCTGAAGTTTTTCCCCTCCCTGTGAGTTTTTGGATCCTGATTTTTTTCCCCACAGGACTTTACCATAACTGCTGTTTCTAGAACTGCCACTTTTCTTGGGCTCCATTTTTTTTTTTTTTTTTTTTTAACGGTCACTTCAGAGCTCAGCAGACCTCATGAGGAAATTTCAGAGAGCAAGAGGGGGAGAATTAGAGGCTTTGCTGAGGACACAGGCGGTGTAAGGGAGAACTAAGGTGAGTGCTTAACTTTTAAAAACATTTTGCCACTAAAAGATGCTTTTTCATTAATGCCCTCGAAACACTCCCTTCCCTTCAGTACGCTTTCCTTGTCACTTAGGCCACTTTCTGAGGCAGTTCTTCAGTCCTCTCTCCTGAGGGTCTTCAGTTGCCCTGTCCTAGCTGCCTGGATTTCTGAACCAATTCAAAACGTTTCCCTTTCCTGGTCACTTTGAGTTAGGGGGAGGAGCCAGGAGTCTCCCAGAGCCAGATCCAGTGACTAAGGAGGGAGAGCCAACTCGTATCTTAGGACCTGGCTTTCCAGGGAACGAGGCTTGGCAGCAGAAGTCAACGGATTTTTGATCACACCTCATAAAAGTGTTCGCAGAAGAGATCTTTCAGAGTTGCTTCAGAAAGTGGCAAAAACGAAGGGGAAAGTGTGCTTGAATCAAGGAGGCAGAGTTGGGGCAAAGATTAACGGCAATGTTTCTTTCACTAATTCATAATTTTTTTTACAAACATTTACCGTATATCTGGGTCTCCCACAGCATCCACCCGCCTGGAGCAGGTGCTCATATCCAGCATGGGAACAGGCACAGCATGGGCTGTGGCCTTTCTTCTGGGACCAGCGGCCCTTCCCCAGGGTCCTGATTTGTAGTCTGCAGGTCTCTGCTCCCCTGGACCTGCCTACCCCGGCTGACCCTCCATGGTGAGTGCCTGGCTTATCATCTAGACCTCCCATCTCACCGCTCCTGGGGGAGGGGTGGCAGGTGATGGCAGAGGTGAGCCAGGAGGGTCCCTGGAGCTGGAGCGCCCTTCCCATCGCTGTCTCCAACAAGACCCTGGCTTCTCCACTTGACTTGGGCCACCTTCTCCAGGGACATGGGAGCCCCGAGTATCTGCAGGTGCTCACACACGCACGCAGCCCTGGTCCCCTCACCACAGATCTGGTCCTGCAGAGCATACAGGAGCTGGCTCTGTGACCCCCTGTGATATCCACATCCAAGGGTGCTCAAGCCCCTCACCTGAAGTAATGAACAGCCAGCACCCCCGGACAGCCAGTGCCCCTCCAGATTGCTGTCAGTGCCTCTCACAACATCAGTGCTAGGTGGACGGTTGGTGCTCAGTGGTCCATGGAGAACCTTGCTGTGACAGTGCCTCTGCAAGTTCCACACGGACACAGCACTTTCTCACGATTTCTCTCTGTGGTTGACCAATCCCAGCCCAACAATGGGCTGACCGTACTTTATCACAGCACGTGTGTTTTTCAGTCCAGTTCTCCATTTATTGAGCTGCTTCCCATGAGGCCGTTACCCTTGGGAAATACATACTGTTCATTTTTTATTGCAGGCATCTGCACCAGAGCCCCATGAGCAGTGCATCTTCCAGAGGTCCTCTGAACCAAGTCGAGAAGCTGTTAGGTACTCTGCATGTTTCTCTCTGAAGCTGGGATGCAGATTTCTCCCGTGTTCTTTGCACAAGTCTGTCAAGAGGTGGCTTCAGTTTCTTTGATGAATCATGTGATTCAAAATTAAATTCTTGTTTTTCTTTTTTTTCAGCATAGCTGTGTTTTCCCTGAGCACAATAGACCTGCACAGAAACCTCACCAGCTGCATCGGCCACATGGATGCACTGGCCCTGACAGGTCCAGCGCGCTTCTGCAGCTTCTCTTTGCTCTCCCCTCATCTCCTTGTGTTTTTATAAACAAATTGGGGTGTCCTCTGCCCCACACCCCCTGGTGGCCTCCACTGTCTGGGAGCTGGGGCTGGGTGGTGACAGGAAAAACCAGCAGGTGGCAGAAGACTGTGTCTTCGGGGCTCCCAGCCTCCATCCCAGCCCTGGGGCTGCCCAGAGACAGGACTCGGCCTTCTTTAGGAGCCTGCAAGGGGAAGTGAGGGCTAAGAACTGAACCCCAAGGAGCACAGGACACCCCTGATTAAACCAAGAGATGCTTTACTTGCAAGAACTCTAGTGGAGCCAGGCAGTTACACAGTTGCCTGAAATTGTCCCAAAATGGTTGCTTCCTGACCCCCAATCACCTCCACACCCCAGTTTCTGGAAGAAGGGCTTGTGGTGCTCTCTCCCAGAAAGAGATCATTTCTCATGAACCAGTGGGCATTTTCCATCTCTGTTCAGCATTCTCCAGGCAAGTCTCTCCATCTCGTCCTGACAAATGGGCTCCCTGAAGGGACTGCAGACTCCACAAAAGAAGTTTAAACTCTGGAGCCCAGCAGCACTGCTTCTTGCCTTTGGGGAGAGAGAGCTCTGCTGTCTCCAGCTTGCCTGCTTTCCCTGAATGAGTCTCTGGGTATCTTCGGCATCGCTGAATCCTCACGACAGCTCGGGCGAGCCAATTCTCCTGGCTCAGTTTCAAAAAGGAGAAAGCAGAGGCCCCAGCAGAGGCTTTGTTTGAGAAATCTTAGCGTGCGAGCTCTTTTTATTAAACCCTGCCGTCTGGCCCAGTCCTTCCCGTGTGTCCCCGAGATCCTTTCTGGATCCGGAATCTGACGCGATGTGCTGGGTTTCTCTGTGTAGCTCTCTCTCCTTCTCCATCAGACTATGACGTCTTTGAGGCAGGAACTAAGCTTTGCATTTTTATATTTCTTGACCCTGGCACTGAGTCTCAAGCAGAAAGGCACACACAAACACCTCCCGAATGAACACAGGGTTTCAGTTTCAGCCTGCTACCTGCCACAAAGTTCCATTGGGCTTAAAACCTCCTGCAGGCCCAGACCACAGACCAGCTCCTCAGGGAAGGCACGGTGGTCTTCTAGCCTTTCACATCCATGTCCTTGTCTTCCCTGCAGCATCCTAGCAACGCCATGCCAGGATGCTTTGCCGACGAGAACTGTTTTGTGTGTCCTAAGCTGTACGTTTGTGTGCAGACTGCATGTGCGGTGGGAGTGCTGGCGGATGCTGTTTCTTTAATGTCCTGTTAGAAGATTCCCCTTGATCAGACTTAGAAGTGAACACCTTCAAATGCTTGGTTATTCTGGTGAGAAGAAATTGCTGTTTAGCCAGGTATTAACGCACTTACCACGGTCACCCCGCAAGGTGCTACCTGGCTCCCCCAGAAGGGCCAGCTGGCTGGAGACATGGGCCTCCACCCACAGTGGCTGACATTTATAGGACTGACAGCAGCCAGTCCTGATTTCTAACAAAGGACCGAAGCCCGAAGAATGGTGGCTAGCAGGAAGAGAGCCCTCCTACGGTCACAGCTATAGCGAAGCCTTGCAATTCCATCCAAGAACCTGGTCCCAAGGTCTCTGGCCCCCTTCCCTGTCCAGAAAGGAGACCTCTGATGTGCAACCCACCTGAATTCCCCAAGCAGCTCCCCACTGCTTTCTGTCCTTCCCAGGGGTTTTGAAAATTACATTCGTGGCAACAAAACCCCAAGCTGCTCTCTCCAGAAAGGCTTCACCAGAGGCAGTGCCCGGCTGCAGAGCTCTGGGCTCCTGGGGTCTGTGTGTGCCTGCTCCGGGAGGGACAAACTGAAAGGAAATGGAGACCCCTGAGCCCTGCCCCTCGCCCCTCAGTATTTCTCTGTGGGGACAAAGCGTGGGGTAGGAGCTCTCTGAGGGCCTTGAAGTTGGGGCCTTGCATGGGCCTTTTGAGAGTTGAAAAGATTTGTGCTCAAGTGTGGTTCTGAGTTAACAGTGGTGATCTCTCACTTGTCTTTTTAAAATCTTACTGGGTACCCACCAGGCACAAAGCCTGAGAAAATAACAATGTGTGAGACAGAAGGGTCCCGAGCCAAAGTCGGGCCGGGTAACAGAGATCCAGCTCACGGTGAAGGCCAAGGAGGAAGAAAAGTAAACTCCAGAGTGCAGCAGGGACTGACACGGAGGAGACCGCTGCTGCAGTCTGGGTGGTCAGCAGGTCCACCCAGGAGAGCTCCGGGGCTGTCCACTGCCCTCCCCCAGGGCGCAAGCCTGGCGTCCTCGGTGAGGTCACCCGAGTTGGGATCCGACAAAAGTCATGTAGGGGCTGCCTCCTCCTCTACACCTGTTTTGCCAAAGAACTGCTCAGATGATACTTGGGATTTTGTGCCGATTACTGGGTCAAGCGGGTGACTCCATTTTCCCTATGCTTGAGCTTCTTCTGAGCCGAGTTAGTTGTTGTGCAATAGTATATCGTTCTAGTTGTTGTTATATGTAGGTCTATATAAGTATACACATTTTTATATATTAGTAAATATCCATACATGAAGATGCACCTTATTAAGTATACATGAGCAACTAAAATAATAATTAGAGATATTACAGTCACAATATGGCCACACCTATGCTAGTGTCTAGGTGTTTAAGTACCTGGGTGGCTACGTAGGTCTGTCACATGACACTGGTTCAGAACATGGTCAGTTTTCTAGGCTTCCCTCAGAGGGTAGTGTTTCTAAAGGCATGGTTTCATCTAGTTTACCTTTTTATAGGTTTACTTAATATATTTCAGCCCAGTGCACAAGACCATGTTGGCCAAGCAGTGGGCACTGAATCGATGTCTGCTAAGTAAACAGAGGACGTGGCTTGGGACCGAGGTGTCCCAGGAAGCCCTGGTGTCTATCACAGCTGGCACTGGCGGCTGCTCCGGTGAGAGCCGTGAGTCGAGCGGAGACACAGGATCACTCCCTGTGCCCTGCTCTTGTCGTCTCTCAAGGTTACCTCAGGAACAAGGACCAGGTTTGGCTGTGTGTACCGAGTCTTCCGCAGGATGCTCACCAGAGGAGACGGCCAGGACCGCACCGTGGGGCGTGGGTGAGGCCGAGAAGAGCAGGCCACAGAGATCCCTCTCCGGTGCTCTGGCACAAAGCATCCTGCTTCTGAGAACTCTGCTTGCAAACTGTTGCAGCTGCCACTTGGAATCTTTTCCTGGGGCTGGACACAGTTCACCAAAGAAACAGAGAACTGGAAAAGTAGCGCCAACCCCTGATTCCCTATGAGGCTGTAGGAGAGAGGCCGTCTTTAAAGTTTCATTTCAAATGCTCAGGAGCATATTTTTTTACAAGCCTTAATACAGTCACATTGTGTTAGTTCCATGTCATACAGTTTAACGCCCAAGACAAATAAGACCGACACAAACAATCCTGCCTCCTAATTACAGGACCATTTCCCACCGCTGGCAAATTTACAAAATGTCTTATCTATTTCCAGGTTTTTTTTTTTTTTTTAAATGTGTTCAGAAATAAGAATGTTATAATGTGAGAGCAAGTTTCTTTCTGTTTCCAATTATGGTTGAAATTTCACAGGCTGACGGTCCAACGTTCATTCATTAAAATCTGCTAAGGAACGTGACAACTTACGTCAGTCACGTTCTGCATTCATCTTAGTAAAGATGAGGTCCCCTGGAAGGACACAGTGTTTGTGAGGGGAAACACTTTTCAAGAAGATCTTACAAAGGGTGGGGGAAGGACCTTCTGTGTACCCAGTAGGCATTTCTGGGTACACAGATCACCCTACTAGATCAACAGGTTTCAGACTATATTCTCTACTTTTTAAAAGAAGTAGTAAGAGATATTCAAATGCTCTCCTAACAAGATACAAGTACTCCATTTTATAAGTCAGGTAGGCTTGCCAATAACGAGATCAATTAATTAAATAAAATATTTTAGGGAAGTAACGGTGCCAGCATTCCGGAGCTCACAGGCAATTAGGGAAATGAGATGAATCTGGGAGAACCAGGCTCTTTCTCAACTGGGGATAGCTTTAAGAAATTATTGCCTTTGTAAATTGTCACATGCCATCTGGAAGTCATTTCTAGACAGGAGCTGGCGGCCAGCACCTGAAATATTGCAGAGAAATGGTCAGTTAGCCTCTGTCTGTATACCTCAGTGATGGGGGAACACGTCAGCCCCGGAGATAGTGAATTCCGGATTTGGATGGGTTCCACTCTTTGTGACTTGGGCCAGGAAGTGCAAGGTTATTTGAACTGCAGCTGCTCTCTTCTCTCCTCTTTTTCCTGTACCTGCTCACATACTGACCCATTACCCATCCATTTTCTGTCTTGAGTTGAGGTAGCTTGTCACACCGAAAAGAACCATCTGGAATTTGACTGTCTTTCTCTTTCCTGTGGGCCAATGCCTGCTGTCCATCCTACAGGGGAACCATACTTCCCAGCAGCCCCCATGGCTTCAGAGCACTCGGATTTCCATCAGGATATGAAGGGCCCCGGGGATCTCTCTGCCTCTGCTCGCCCCACAGCCTGTCCTGCAAACCCTCTCCCATGACAGCGAGATCAGTCTTTAAACAAAAACATCATGAGAGCCTGATGCTGCACTTCGAGTAAAATCCAAGCTCCTTTCCACGGATTGCAAATCTCAAGGCTCCTCCCGGGCCACCCCATCCTCTGCTCAGGGTGCCTCGGCCTGGACACAGCTTTCAGAAATGTGGCATCATCCTTGCCCTGCATGTGTGTGCTCCGTTTGCTGACGATCTTTCTCTCATTTCTGACACATCCAGCTTATATAGACGAGCTGTGAACATCTGTTTAAGGGATGGATAAAGGCTCACTTCTCTGCTTGTTTTCTCTTCTGCTGTTTGCATGGCCGCCTGACCATTCTTTAAAAGCTGGAGAAGTGCCTTATTTAAAAAAATGCTTCTCCCACTATTTAATAGGTCACTCCTCTTTGGAGTACCTACTCCTGATTTTTGCTACATTTATGCATCCTTTTAAAGATTGTCTTCCTTTCTTATTAGACTGTAAGCTCCCTGAGGGCCATCTGTTGCCCTCCTGGTGCCTAGCACTTGCCTGGGCCACGCTGCTAGTTCTAACAAATGTCTGTTCATCGGATTAACACAAATGTAAGAGACTGTGTGGGTTTACTAAACACCACCACCACCAGTGTCAGGGGTTCAGAGAAGACCTGCTTCTTCCTGTTTGTAAAGGGTTTCTTCAACATCTGGGGGTGTAGCTCAGGGTTCTAGTGTTTGCCTGGCATGGACAAAGCCCTGGGTTCAGTCCCCAGCACCACAGAGAAAAACAAAAAGGAGAAGGAGGAGGAGGAAGAGGAGGGGGAGAAGGAGGAGGGGAGGAGGGGGAGGAGGAGGAGAAAATGATAAACATCTCTTTCTCTGGAGAGAGAATTATTTATTTTCTAACTTTGGGCCAACTCCCACACCAATTCTAAGGAAACTCAAATTTAAAATATCAGTTGATGTAAACATGTCACAGGTTTGAAATATTTTATTGTGGTTATTACTCTGAACTGATTCTGGAAAATGAGACTGGTTTTCAGATCAAATTTCCTAAGTCATTAGCTTTCAGCAGGTGTTGCTCTTCATCGGGGATGCATTTCCAGTCCCGGATTTGTCAGTGCCAGCACTTAGCATTTTTAGAATTTTGTACCTAAAATATAATTTATATTCGCTTGAGGATGAATTGGCCATCTCTCTCCTTTGTGGCTGAAGCACAAGGACAGGGGGAGCAGTGGTAATGCAAATAATAACCATGAAATTGGAAATCAATGCCTCAGCC